CGGAAGGTATGCCAGATAAAGTGCCAGAATGTTTGCCAGATAGAATGTCAGAAGATTTGCCAGATAGAATGCCAGATAGGATGTCAGAAGGTATGCCAGAAGATATGCCAGATAGAATGCGAGATAGAATGCCAGAAGATATGCCAGAACATATGCCAGATAGAATGCCAGGTAGAATGCCAGAAGATATGCCAGAACATATGCCAGAAGATTTGCCAGTAACAAATCGATACATGTCATGGTGGGGATCACACGAAGTAAAGTAATTTCATACTGGTCAAGATCTTTGGGTCTGAGGCCTACATGTTTTGACCATGCCTTCCTATCATGGCAATAAAAGGGGGGACATGGATTTTCTCAGCATTGACTTAGTTTATCGATTAAAAAGGATCTGTGCATTGAGTGTTTATCGATAAAACTGATAAAACGCTGAAATTGTTTGACTGGTTTCAACATGTTTCAACCATTTTTGATTGGTCAGGAATTTTTCATGGTGATCTCCGATCTTCTCATATTTTTGAGGATTTTTTGGCCCCAAAAACCATCCGCTTCAGGTTGCTGTGGGGACAGTGGACAGAGCACTGAAGCAGACAGTCAGGCGTCCCGCGAATGGTGAATCAAGACACTAAAGCAACATACCGGTAAACCAACATAGCTATTCCCAGATGCTCCATGTATGGAATATTTACCAACATTTACCCCAAAAATGGCACAAATATTGGTAAATATTCCATACATGGAGCATCTGGGATTGAACATTGCCCATTTATACTTGATTTACCTATTACAAGGGGTGATTTGCCATAGTCATGTTAATTTACAAGAGGGTAAACCAACTGCTAATTTAACATAGCTGTGCCAGCTAGATGGCTCATTTATAGATATTTATGATTTAGCTATTAACATGAGTTAACATGGTGATCTCCTGCAAACTGCTGGTTTACCAGTAAACCACACCTTTTTTGGTGTGGATATTTCATGGGATATGATGAGAATGGATATAGATTCTTATATAGATCAAAATGGCCTGTTATCCTTGTTGATTGGGGGATTGACATCATCAAACATGTTTTTTTTAAAACCAAACAAGACATTTCGGAGTTCGCCAACTAAGACAGTGATAAACCCATTGGGAAAAGGTAGCGTTTTCATGGGGATATGGCCACCTCGGGATAATCTGCCCCACGATTATTCACCATGCCCAGTTGCATCAGAATTGGTATCAACAACCATCCCCTAAGACCTTGCTGATGGAGATTGACGGCAACACCCTGCGATATCAACGAACAAGGAGTGCGAGCGGCAGACCATAAATTATGAGCATATCACCATCCCATCCAATCACTCCTGCAGTTTCTGAACTCAAGAAACCTGCAGTCTTCATTCCTCTTGTATAGATGTTGACTGGGGGTCAAAGCATGATGTCAGATAATTGATCAGTTGCAGGTTCATACAAAACAACTCCTCAGAACAAAGTTTCCAAGTTCGTCAGTTCAAGACCTTTTTTAACCTGTGCAAGTGGAGGACATTTTGCCATTTTTTTTTGCCACTTGATGGAGCTGCCCAACCCCGTCGGCGGCTCGCTTGTCTCGTGGTCGCTGGAGAGTTCCAAACCTTTGGGGCCTCCACGGCCCTCCATGCCCCACGGCAAACGTCGTGTAGTGAGCGGAGATGGTGGAATTCTCTGAGGCGTGTGGAAAAACCATGTTGTATTGCGATGGTGTCAAACACTGGGCAATCACTGTTTTCGACATTCGGTTTGAGGCGTTGATCTTTGTGGTTGATGTTGAGTTTCGATGGACTTGCTTTTAAGATGCAAGGATTTTCAACATCCAAACGGAAGTCAGCCCCAGCAGGATGGAGACAAGACTCTTTCACGGGCATCGTCGAACTCGACGTTGTGTATCGACCTGGAAGTTGCTCGAGCTGAGAATCACGTTGGTGCGCTTGCTAGAAGCCATAGCGACTTGGTAGCGGCTTGAGCGGGGGTCAAGGGGGTAACAAGAATGCCCTTTTCGGATCTTCTTGGGTCATTTGAAATTAGCCGGTGGAGAAGGCTTCAACCTGAGATTATTACGATTTGCCACGTCAGGGTTCGCCAGCAAAGGTGAGGTGTATAGGGAAACAGAAAACCACAGAACCAAAGGATTCCCCTGTGCGAGACCACGCCCCAAAGAAAGAGGAAGATGGCAGGGGAAACGCTGTGGAAACATCACTATGACTGAACCAAAACCCTGGAGAACTGAGATAGAAGTGGCATTCTAGAGCCAAGCATGTCAGAAAACCATAGAAAACCGGCATAGCTTGTGCAGGCTATAGCTTTTTAAACACGACACTCATCACCTGGCCAATTTCTCGTCGGAATTGGCCAAATGGCTACCCCCAAACGCTAAGAATTGGGGGAATGGAATATGGGGGGTTCCGTCAAGAGGGGATCCCCGATGGCAGATGATTTTGAAAAATAGACCTGATATGTACTGTACAACTACCAAGAAAACCTAAATCACACACATATATATATACAGAATATATATATATATTATCATATATATATAGTCATATATATATACATTGGCATTGTGTACATTGAATACACATGGTTATTTAGTTGAATTACCTCAGAAAGTGCCGTCATTCTTACATGCTTCTGCCTCTGGCTGTTCCTTCTACGCTCAGTCTTGTGCCATGGGGGTACCCCAAGTCACCATGGGATTCAATACTATAGTTTGCTCGTTCATGACTTGGATGATCGGGATAGCCTTATTTTAGGAACCCCCCCCACATATAATCATCTAATATTTGATATTACTACAAGGTTTTTTTTTATACATATATGCACACACACTATCTATCTATATATATATATACATATTCCCATAGATTCCCAAGAGGTTCTACTTATTGGCGTAGGTCAGGCTCCCTGTTTCGGCCCTGGTCTTGAGGTCGTTGGAGCTTCTCTAGCTCCGACGGCAATTCGAGTCCTGGGAGACATGCACCTCCAGATGCTTGGTGCTGTGAAAACCTGGCCGCCCTGGCTGTTGTTACTGGCTTTTTCACCATGAAAATATTTGAAAATATGGGGATGCACTGTAAGCGGATATAACTATATTTGTGTGGATATAACTGATAAAGGATTGTTGGTTGTTTATTATATCACAATCCATGAGCTGGGATATCCCATTAACCAGCCAGTATAAGGGACGACGTTGCGGGTTTTGAACACTGCTCAGCTCACAAATAAGTGTTTTTTTCTGCAGAGGCAGTAGTTATGTGGAGAAGAAAAGCACCAACAAAAAGTTGGAAGTCATTGCAATTCAATGACTGACATGGCTATGGGTCAAAACCTACTAGTCATGTGGTTTTTTCGGGATGACCATCAACCTTGAGCTTCACTGGGGGTACAGGGTTTTGACCCACATCCACATAAAAACCCTCCGGTGTTGTCATCATTTCGGTGGCTGGCTGGGAAATTCCCGAAGTAGCCATGTTTAGTTTGCTGGGAAAATCATCGAAACTAGGCACGTTTGATGACACCGGAGGGTACCACAATGAAAAAAGGGGTTGATCTTTCAGATCTGCCGCTGTGCATGTTTCAAACCCCTTTTTTTCCGAGAACTGGCCACTGTGGTTTGCGGGTTTCGACTCGAGGAAGCACAGGTGGTACCCTATTCACAATGCACCTGGGACTTTTTCTTGAGCCACAAACAGTCCAATGCACAAGATGCCGTCTTGAACCTTCGGATGGCCCTGAGTCACCTGGTGCTAACGCTCGATCCGATGTGGGGGTCGTGGCTGTGTAAGCCTACTCATGGCAGGAATGATTTGTTTTGTTGCCATGAGAATAATTTATATGATATTTGATGTACAATACATAATCAAGAAAAAATAGATACACATCCTGATGAATCCACGATGACGAACCATCCACACATTGTGGTATGTGATTGGGTATAAGTCACAATGGTGCCCTATTGTGGTTGATACAAGGAGGTGGACGCCGTGTGAAGTTTACCTTTGCCGGTTGCTTCAGGGCAGAATGATGAAGAAGTAAAAGTAGTTTCCTGACCAAAGATCATGGCGCGGCGCATTTCTGCGTAATGGTTGCTGGGTGCTTCACCCATTTCCTGCATTTTGAAGTTTGGGAAAGCCAAGGTGTGTTCCCACGGGCAAACCTCTGAGGTGATCGGATACCCTCTTCCACCTTTTGGCTGGACATTGAACAGGATGCGGCGTTCTTGGGCATACTTGGTGTTTCCCGGGATCTGATTAACCATTCCGGCTGACCAAGTATATACCTTTAGGAATGGTGCTTTACCCCAGAATGCTACTGTTGCATTTCTACCATTTTTTGGGGGTATGTGGAGGGTCTGAGTGGTTATTGAAGTTTCTTTTGGGATTTTACAGATCATCTTTTTCGCGGTGGAGCTTTTTTCTCACCATTGACCCATACCTAAAGATTGACAACATCACGCATTTGATGGTATTGTTGTGGTGAAGACCCAGTTAAAATGTTCTGTCTTCAAGACACTCGTAGACTGTCTCGAGCCTTCATATGTGCATGGCTCAAATTAAAGCTGGTACCGGGTAAGATGGTCCTGGCACTGGTACGGGCGTATGTATATATAGAGAGGTTTCCAATCCATGGGGGTACTCCTAGTTATCATCCATTTTAGATTGGGATTCTCCATTGCAAAGCATCCAGCTATTGGAGATCCCCCTATGAAAACTTCCATATGCTTTATTTGCAGATCAGCTCATATGGGGCACCCTAAGAAGGTGCCCCTTTTGTTTCCCGCATCCGCGCCAGGACCCAACAGTCCACGGGATGTGCCATGGAGTGTGCAATTCCAAGAACTTTTTGCTGTCCCTCAGCTGAACTGAGGCGCAAAAGAAATGGGACTCTTCACACTGTTGAACAAATGATTCGTAAACATTCTAGCTGAATTCCCCTCCAACAGTTCGATGGTTCCGAAAGACCCACCATTCGTGATTCTCATTTTCCAAACAGGAAACCATATCGAGCTGTGGTTGCAAGACACCCCGGCCCTGATGTTTGTTGGTCGGGGATGATGCGATCACCCATACATTGGGAAAAACATTTAAAAAAACCACTAGGGGAATTTCCTGGCCGAATTCGAAGGCGATGATTTCTGCAAAATGATGATCGAATTCAGTGGCATGGGGCACTATGTATACTGTAGCTCAATGAATTTAAATGTTCTGGGCGACTTTGATTTTAACGTGTTTTCATCCATGAACATGCAGACTTTTTTTTTGTGTTAGCCAACCAACATTGGGATATCTATACCCAACCAAGAGGGGTATCCCATCCTTTGCCAAGCAGTTGCCTGGTCATAGGAGAGACTGTCACAACCGCAAAGATCGCAAAGAAGAAAACATCAGCAGCAACGTTGATGGATGTAAGACATGTTCTTGAAGTTCTTGGATCAGCTCTGGTATGGTTTATGGATTTAATTACGGTGGACTATCGAGATATGTCTTGCGATGTCAGTGCTTCCCCGGTGGTATTTAGATAGTACCTCCGAGAGGTGAGAATGGAAAATAATGGAAAAACCAAGCAACTGATAAAGTAATCTAAAGATGCACATTACATTTATGAAATGAATATTTTATAATTATATAATTATATATATATAATTTATATAAATATATATATATATAATTTATATAAATATATATATATATATATTTGAATGGCAGATTTAGCTTAGATTCCCGGAAACCAGGCATCCAACTGCTTTGAGTAAGTCAGAAATTGGATTATCAATTTGGGCTTCTATGACTATGGCCTAAGACCCTGGGAGCTCGTAGTTCACATCAAAGTAGCTGGTAATTCTTAAATGGATGTTCATCCACAACAGTAAAATCCCATATAGATTTGGAGCGCCATAGCGACCTCGTTTCGATCCACAGATCCAGATCACTTTTCTAGCAGCAAGTCGCTCCTTTATGGGACGATCCCCCAAATACTTCTCATGGGAATTACGATCCAGTAAACTAACCTAGCTTTTGCATGCTTTGGACATTTTTTTATATAGGATTTACCTATTCAAAATTAGCCTATATACCCTCGGGTAACTAGGCGCGGCCATTGACAATCCACCATTTATCGATGATTTTCCCAGCTATAAACTGCCATGGCTAGTTCGGGGATTTTCCAGCCAGCCACTTTTGATGACACCGAAGGGTATCTAACCATAGAGATCCTTCAAGAAATCACCATCCATCCGTGAGGTTTTTGACTGCCGGAGTGACGCAGAGCAAGTTCTGTCAGATGGAAATGCGCTGGGCGATTCAGGCGGACAAGAACATTATCATGGTGTCTGAAACAGCTGCTTGACCTGCGTTGAGTATGGTGAAACATGTAAAATTGGCGTCCAACATGTTGTTGCGAAACAATTTTTCAAAATATGCCGAGAAAGTCCATTCAGGAAAGTATGGTCCAAGAATATATTTTACACGTGATGTACCTTACCGGCCCCTTAAAAGAAGTTGTGCATTTAGGATGTTATGAAACATGGCGATGGCATATTCCCAATGCTCCCGAAACCAAGCAAAGTCACCCTGTATAGAGTTTGTACAAAAATATACCAGGACCAGAACCATGGATGACATGGAATGTGATATCAGCAAGAACAGTGAGGGTCGCAGGGCTTGTAGACATCATTGGAGTGTTTAAGCGGCAAACATTGTAACATGGTGTGATCTAGCTATCAGCATTTATCGGGTTTAAAAGTGGTATTATGGGTCTGGATCAATTTATGCAGAACTACACATACACATTGTATGTTTTTTTGGTGGGTGGTATATAAAACAGTTTTGACGACTCTACACCCAAAACAGGGCTTGTCTGTCTCAAAACAGGGTACCCAAACATCCAGTGGTTCATTTCTTCATTTGCCCACTAATTTTTAGCAATTTTGGAGGGTCGAGAAAGATACGGTGGATGGCATTTTGAGACACAGCCATACCATGACCTAAGATGACCTAAAATTATAGGGCAACAGGGAGCAATCCTCCCAGGTTTTCCGCAAAAGCCTAGGATGAACGACACGGGAAGCCGGATGTGGCAGAGTTGATTGAGAAGTGTCCGGAGGACAGGGCTCGGTTTTTTTTGTCGACATATGTTTGGATCGCTCGAATCAATCAATAGGATTCAATAGGCTGATAGCCACAAGGAGGGAAAGTCTGTGGTTGAGGTTTTGCATCAGCCAGGTGTTTACCCGATCTATCAAGTCTGAGGTGTTTTCAAGCCTGTCAATCCATATCAGGTGGGGCAGTGATTCCCAGGCTGAGTCAAGCACTTAATTCTCGTGTTTTTTGGTGTTTTTTTGACCCTTGGAGGATTTGAAGTATCTTTTTGAAGACCATGTGGTGATTCCTTGGCACCGCGACCCGGAGCTTCAATCTGTGTGCGTTACCAAGATCCTGAAGAAGTGTCTCTTGGAAAATGGGGAGTCGCCTGAAAAAATGAAAACCACGGCTGGCAACTCCACCATTTACCCTGGTAAACGTTTACATAACTATGGAAAATCACCATGCTATTAATGGGTAAATCCGCTATACTTCACCATTTTCAGTAGCTATGTAACAGTCATTACCAGAGGCTAGATCATTTTCCCAGGCAACCTTTAGTTGGGGGATTCCCAGCCACGGACACCGGAGAGTAGCTTCGACAAAATATAAGATTGGTTGGTGGGTTTCAAACATGAGTTTTATTTTTCAGATATTTGAAACCATATTTGGTGTTTCTATAAATATATATATGGTTTATAAATTTTGTGAGTCATGATCCCAACTGAAGGGTTGTCCATCATTTTTCAGAGGGGTAGGTCAACCACCAACAAGGAGGGATTGTCCGATTGATCAAGCCAAAGGACCAATTGGCTCAATTGTGCACTAAAAAAATCTCAACACTGAGCAAAACCCTAAGCGGCGCTTGTCGGTTGTTGTTTCTGAAAAACTTACTAACAGCTCGATGTTTTTCGCGCGTTGTAATCCCAAGGATATTTGATCTTGCGCGAGAAATACGCCAACTACTCACCATAAATTTCAGCATGAGATCCATCATCCTAGTTTTTAACCCTAATGAAAAGGCTACATCAACAAACAGATCTATTTTTCTTCAAGCTCCAACCAAAAACAAGATCTCCAACGAGTTAGCCAACTTCAATGATACCCGGTATCACCCGGTCACCCATGGTCTTTCTGTAGGTATCTTTGAAGTGGACATTGAACGCCAATCCGTGAGTGATCGGCTTCATCGTCCTTGATGTTTTGCAACAATGATGAGCTGATAAGTTTGGCGAGCTCGGACCTCCAAGCGGTGGAAGTCATCGATCCGAGCTTCATCTGTTTCACGAGTTTATGGGGTATCGCCCTTCCAGGAGCTGTACGTTGGCAGAGATGGTCATGGGATATATAATGGGATATATTCTGATATACATATACATTTAATAATATAGGGATTAGATGCATGTTTTCATCTTATATATTGGGATATGATGTGTTGGAGGTTAGAGTCGGATAGGAAGATAGATTTTGGATGAACTCTTGGTAGACTACTGTTCTATTTTTGTTAGGGGTTACTACAAGATGGGGATAAGTCAAGTCATTGGGTGCCCCCAAAATGGACTGGTTGGAGATTGTTTCAGATCTTCTGTGAAGCAAGGCCAAAAATCTGTTGGTCCCAAGTACGCGTTCCAAGCCTTGACCTGTCCCAGCCGGATGAGTTTCGGATATATTCAGTGAGCAATCCACCGCCCGTCCTCGCTAGAGATTTTCACAAGGCAGTGTGTCAACCAGCCATGAAAAACGGGTGATGACACAACGGTTTTTCATACCCATTTGGTAATCAAACATATCAATGGACAAAAAATATACGGATATTCTGTTCGATGAAAATCCCAGCTACAGGATTTTGAATTGCCATCTTTGATGACCGGGAGGTAAAGCTAGGTCGATGGTTGGGGGAAAGACGGTAAAACCGATGGAACCCTTGTGAATATTTCCCTTACACCTTCCTTTCTTCTCAAGATTTGATCTTAGATTTCCCTGCAGCATCTTAAACCCATGCCCCCGAAAAAACAGTGCTTTCCACAATTGGTTTTACACCTTAGCTTTCCATCAGACAGGAGCTGGTTCGTGCACAAGGAGATGGGCCATCCTGGTGACTTTCCTGGTGCTGGCCTGCGGGGCTCTTTGCTTCAGTCGATTTTTCCACCCAACGGGGCCCAGCTGGTTAGACTCCTGGACCTTGCTGCAGAATGTGGCGGCGCATCCCATGGTCTTCATCCTACTTCAGGCCGAAACGTTTCGTGGGAAGCCTTAAAAAACGGGATATAAATGGACATAACATCCCGTGATTACTACTCTTGATATTTTTTGATGTTTTTTGATTATCATAGTATATGAACTGGGAATCACTCCAGAAGAACTTGATTATTTTTCCTATGCTCAGGTGCTTCTACGCATCCTGCGTTCTGAGCTGATTCTCGATTTGTTGGAGCATCACATCGACTGCTCAAAGGCGGACGTGTTGAGATGGTGTTTTTTCGATAAATCCACCGTTTGGGGAATCTATTAAAGTAACATAGATGTGGAAAACCCATGTGGAAACCGAAGATCTACAATTGGTGGGTTTTCCACGTCATATAGCAGTTTTACAGGAGGGTACCTTTTTTGTTGGTTATTTTTGATTATTTTGGACCATTAAGCAAATCCAAGAGGCTCAAGCGGCAAGCTTGCGCTTCAGAACGAAGTTCCAATGCATCTGCGTTTGGTTCCTGACTCTTTTGGTGTCAGCTGCTACCTGGTGGGGATATTTACCAGGTTTTTTGCATCCCGACTATATCGGGGCGCTTGGGAATGAACTGCCAGATCACCGCTTCTTTTTTGGCCTTTCACATTCCTTTGCCTACGCCTTCGTGCTGCCAATTATGTATGGCAGTGGCCTATCGGCTGTGATGATCTTGCTGCTGATCCAAGAATTGTGTTTTATGGGCTTCACCACCAACCTGCAACGACTGAATTCCGACCTCAGCCGCTTGGGTGTGCCTGCAGCAGTTGCCTCCGCATCTGCTTTCCGCGTCGAAGAAGGAGACCTTGCACGCTTCAAAGTGGGCTTTCTGAAGACATGGCAACTACAGAAAGAGATCCAGCGACGGATTGCCATCCCGTACTTTGGCTTGGGCCTACTCTTTTTTTACCCCGCCGGATGGTGAGAAACTCACATATTCTAAAACTGGAAGGTTTCCTAAAGTTGGTGTACCCCAAATCATCCAAGTCATTAGAGCAGTTTAGTACTGAAACAACCATGGTGACTCGGGGATCCCCCATTTCCCGACTCTTGTCCTGGGAAGTCTGCCAAAAACGGCGGCAACTTTTTCGCCAAGTATAGAATGCTTAAATGATTGAATGTATTGTGAGGTAAACAGATTATATATATCATATTACATGCATATATACATATATATAGTATTGCAAAGAGATAATTACAATGACAATTATTTAAGATTATATAAAATTATTCAAATATATATATATATGATTTATATAGTAATATATATTTATATATATACATAAATGTAAATATGTTGTTTACTTTATATGACATATATAACATATATAACACATATATAACATATTTTAAATAATATATATATATATAACATATAAATGTATAACATATAGCACACACATATATATATATATAACATTCATAATTTTTATAACATATATATATATATATAACACAAATATATATCTTTTGTATATCATTTCATATGTATTTAACAGACATACATATATATAACACATATATATAACTCTCACATATATCAATATATACATAATATATTGATATATGTGCAACACGTAATATTTATACGAAGCACATTTACATATATATATATATATGTATATATACATCATATGTTTTATTTTTATATAACGCACATATATAAACATATATGTATACACAACACACTCATATATATTTATAACATATACATTTAAATATGTGTACCATATACAAAACATATTTTATATATAGCATAAATAACATGTATAACACATATAACAGATATAACTTTACATAGCATATATAACATATGTACAACATATTGACCATGTATATTTTTTAAATACAACATATAAACCATATGTATAACATATATAACATACATATAATATATGTAAATACCATAAAATTGTATTTATATATATACACCATATGTATATACAAATATAATACATGTATATACTTACAATTATGCACACTGGCTGTGACGAAAAAGGAAATCTTCCAGGTCGGACAAAATCCTGGCTGCCCCATCAACGTTGATGGTTTCTTTGTTTTTTATTGGGTACCCACAAACATTAAATCCATTAATTCAGTAATCAGTTAATTCGGGTCCCAAACAAAAATTTCTTAAAGTGATTTCATTAATTTTCATCAAATTCATTAATTAGTGAAATTCATTTATATAATTCATTAACCCCCTGGTAAATTAACAGTTCGACCCTGAAAATCACCAATGATGAAAGTAGAAACTAGTCTTCCAACAACCGTTTGCCAGGGTCTATGTTAATTTACTGGAGGGTATGTAATTCAATATAATTCATGATCGCCTTTTTACTTGGTATGTTTAAATGCTAGTTAAACTTGCCATAGAATGGCTGCCTTTTCCCCCTTTTTTCATACAGCCCTTAAATGCTGCCATATATTTCCAGGTACCCATGAATTGTCGTGATGAACATAGCTATGAACTACTATTAATCACTATGTCTTGCTCATAGAACCCGCCATTGTTGATTATATACCATGAATATCGCATTAATATCCACGTTCATATCCATTAATACCCCAGAAATGGTGCCATTTATATCTTCTTGAACAATTACACACATGGATGATTATTGTTAGTATTCCTCTTATATATATATTTTGTATATAGATACACATATATATATATTATATCTTATATACATATATGAATATATCCCACTCATATTTTCTTAACTGGTGCTATTTCTTTATTTCCAAAACGCCGTGCTCACGTGTCGCGTAAGGTATTTGCTCTTCTGGCTGTGCCAAGTTGCGGCATTGCCTTGGTCCGTGATGAATTTATCAAAAGGTGCGGGGGGAAAACACGGCAAATCCACAAGAATGGTATGTATAATTGTTATTAAATATAATAGAATGGTATTCAGAATTATAATGGTACGACACTTTATGTAATGTTAAGGTCATTTAATAATATTATTGTTAAGTCTGGTGTTTATATATATAGCAGTATGCTAATATATATATATATATAAATATATTTATATATATATAATCTTTAACGGGAAAACATGTGTTTTTAACCTTCTGCTGTAGTTTGAGTAGAGCGACAATAGTCCTCATTCTGCTGGCTTATACCACTAATTTATGGTAAGATTGGGGTGGTTTACTATTGCTTTACTCGCATTAATATGAAATCGTAATTGATATGTGAGGTATAAAGTTATAGTAGTGAATTTTTTTAACGTATAATGCTTCGGTAACGAACATAAGTATGGTCTTATGATAACAATATCAAGATTAAACCACAGACTGATCTTGGAATATGATGGTAATTCAATCGGTTTTGTATAGAAAGATACACATTTCCATTACAGGATGCACATCAGCATTGATTATGTAACATATCTGGTGTTCCCACCTCATGTATCTGCAAAGATACACACATTTGGGTTTCATGGTATGTACTGTAATCAGACCAGCGTTTCCAGATGTGGTTTCTGATTTCCACTGTAAGCAGGGACAGGTATTGGAGTATTAATTTACTTAAGCAAGGTTATTAACATATAGTAAAGACTTCTTTTATATCATCAATAAAAAAAGTTGAAATTAGTTCTCATTCATTAACATATTACCTTTCTGCTGTTACAGTAGTTAACGTTGATTAGGTCTTGGGTGAGTCAGTCACGGTCTGTGTTTAGTTGTGGTAAAAACAAATTCATACTAATCAATGTTAAATATGCTTCGGTAAATGTATAGATTCATTTTGCTAACAATGTATTGTATCAGGTATGACTTATTTTACTTTGCTATGTGTCTCTAATTTGGCAGTATACATATGTACCCATATGTATATATATATATAGAGAGAGAGAGAGACGTTGATGGCCATGTAAAACATGACGTCTTAAGCCCATGTTCTCGGCCTGTTCCCCAGGTTTCGGCCCTGACTTTTCGGACGAACGTCTGAATTTGTTGAAGAAATACGATCATTTGCTGGTTCGTCTGTTGGCTTTGCTGGTGGCCTCCCCTTGGTTTGGTCTGCCTACCTGGATCTTCGCGCTATATCCCTGGCTGCCCATGTATCATCACTGGCATTTCTTTCATCTCACACGACAGCTCCTGGATGGAAACAAGTGAGGATGTCGGGTGTAAAGTTTTCATCTCACTGTAGGTACCCTCTGGTAATTTAACATAGCTATTGAAAATGACCATTTATAGGTGATTTACCCATTAAAAATGGTGATTCTCCATAGCTATGTTAAATCACCAGAGGGTAATAGCTATGTAGTTGCATATGCTTGTTTTTTCTGGAGGATTTTGGCCAATTTTTGGCCACCCGCAGTCTGGCGACCCCTCAACCATGATGAGGCTTGTTGACGAGCTCATTAACCACCAATTATTAACAACCAACATGTATTACATTGAGTATTAACTGGTTATAACCAAAAATTATAGTTTATTAACAACCAAAGTCACCAATTATTAACACAAACTTCTCAACCATCTCTGATTTGGGGGGGTGACTTTTGGGTGGTGGTTGAACCTCCATGTTTTCAGGTTGTGAAGATGCCCTGAGACCAATTTTGTGGTTCGAAGAGCAGTTGATTCTTCGGAAGGAAGCCATTTATGTATATAAGAGTATCCGATTAAAAAGCTGCAAAAACCGACAGACTCTAACCAGATCATCTTGAATTATCTTGGATTATTTACATGAATTTACATGTGCGATGGATGATGACATGAGATCGGCAGCCGCCAACTTCAGGTTGATCTTTACGAAGACACAGGTTGAGGTGGCCTTTCGCAGTTTCCTCCGTGAGTTTGACTTATACGTCACTGGGGCCACAGTGAAATTGTCGACATGAATCCTACGGGTTGATAGCTCCATTCAATCTTCTTCAACGTGTAGATGTAGATGCGTATTCAGACTATTCATACACCACTTATTTTTTCAAAATGGGAATAAGTGAGGGAGATCATATATATATATATGATATATATATATATATATCATATAAATATATATATATTTATTTACATATATATATATATATATATGTAGATACATGTACATACTGTCGGGTATATAACAAGGTATAAATAGGGGATTTTCAGACTTTTCACCAGGCGAGGTTGCTGGATGGCTGGCACCTTATGTAGCGCTTGAATGAATTGCATCCACACGCACATGCATGCACACACATACAGTATATATATATATATACACGCATACACACATATGGTTCTCTCTCTCTATATATATGATGATTATCTCTATAAATAGATGATAACATATGATAACATATGATGATGATGATGATGATGATGATGATGATGATGATAACATATGATGATGATGATGATGATGATGATGATGATGATGAACATGAACATGATGATGATGATGGTGATGATGGTGATGATGATGACGATGATGATGATGATGATTTTTCTCTGCAATGATAACAATAGTAAGAACAATAGTAATCAATGATAATTAAACATGATTTGACATAAAAATAATATGTATCTATACCATAATTTGGGTATTCTGTCACTGTCGCCGCCCCGAGTTCAGTGCTTATGCCCTTCATGCCACACCTGCGACGCTGATGGTCTACGTACCCATCCTGTTGGTGAACACCTTGGGGAATGTCGCGGACAAAGTTCGGCTCCTCACCGCTCTTTGATGCGTTTCACCTGGAAAAATCGGGTTTAGAGCTGAAGATTGCGGACCTATGGAAATAACATGGATACATCGTTTTATGTGAATGAACATGTTTCATGGGATACATAATTGATATAGTGAGTGTGGGAGACAACCGATATGATTTTTGGGTTTGGACCTGAAAAATCAAGGATGGGCCCGCTTATGGCAACCCTCTAAGAGTGGACTTGCGGTGCACAATTTTCAGAGAAACCCAAATGAATTAGAGGAAGGATGCCTTCGGATTTTTTTCTGGAGAGGATATGTCTGGATTGATTAGATCCAGGTTGACATCTGTGTTGCAGTCAGTTGTTAGGGACCTCACCCCCATGAGGCCGCCAAAAATCAGAACAAGACCCATGGGGCAGAGCCGCTGACTGAAAAAGTGTCGTGGCTGCTTGGGAAACTGATGGAAACTGCAACCCGTGGGGTTTTTGAGTTCATCTAAGTTCTCTTGGTTAAACACGAGCCAAAGATTTATAACTTATATAACATGATAAAACATGATATAACCATATATAAGCACCTTTCCTTACCCTTTATTTTTCCGCCTGGAGTAGTCGTCATCTTTGATGGAACCCCTGGCGATTATGGTGGCACTTCGAACGTTAACGAAGCTTCAAATGGTGCCCCGGTTCGAGAAATTCGATGCTAAATTATGAAGTTCTCTTATTCGGATTTTTTTCACATAATTAGTTTTTCACTGTTTGCTGTTGAATCCCTGACCCATAAAAACTTCGATAGTTATATCGATACTTCTATTTACATCTATTGTTTTTATTTACAGTGATGATTTCCCATGGCAAACTGGAAGAAATTACCAGAACATCTATGTCATATATCCGTATGTTATCACAATTTATCTTTATGATATCCGTAAAATGCAGCCATGATTAGTGTCAGGGTCAAAACATGGTTTTTTCGTTTCCCATCTTGGGGGATGTGTGGATGTCCATGGCATGGTTTGACCCTACCCTCTTGTCAACTAGCACAGCTATTTGTCAGAGCATATCATAGCTAAAAAATCTTCGAACGAAAAGGCCATATTCTGCATAGCAAACTGTGAGTTTTCTGCTGAAAAGACATCGATTCACCAGTTCCTGAAATCATCATATGGCGGTTTCCTGAAATGGGGGAAACCCAAAAATCATCCATTTTAGATTGAGATGTTCCACGAAAACCAGCCAGCTATTGGGGATTCCCCATTTCAGGAAACCTCCATATCCCCATTTTTCATCACCAGTTTTTGATCGTCAGGCCAGTGAAGATCTGATGTTGTCCTTGGATGATACCCGGAGGCGCCTCCCGGCTTCGGCCCTTCGGGCAACGAGGACTTGGCAACGAGGAAGATCAATGGTGGTATGGTGAGATATCATGGGAACATATGGTGTATGTGTATATATATATGGGTAAATTATAACGACCTCACTGCGACCTCACTGGAACTATGGTTAATAAGAGAAATCATCCCCAAATGGGCTTAATTTTGGTTAGTGAAATATTGTAATTTAATGTAATTTGGCCATGTATATATATATATATATCCCTCCAGTAAATTCACATAGACCCTGCCAGATAGGGTTTGGAAGATTAGGAAGATTCGTGAAACCACTAAAGAAATCTTATTTTCGGGGTCCATGTTAATTTACCAGAGAATATATGGTATATATATATACATATACATGATATGTGTATAGATTCCACATGAATGATGTTGCGAGCAAATATGGGTTTCAAAACAGTTGCATTCTAGATCAAGGTTACTTTCAGGAATTAATGGGGATTGAACCAACTAAGAAAGGGATACGGTATTGTTGGATATAAGTGGGAGAACCAACTCAATATCATACTTGGGAGTGTCTGAGAACAGGGTGTACCCCCCAGCTATGGACATTTAAATAGGTATACTGCGGTATACTGATGATTAAGCAGTGAATGGAATGGGGTACAGTACCCTATTTTCAGGCAAATTGTTTCCTTGGAAATCAGTTGGCCACATATCGATCATTTCAGCTATCATTCTGGTTGGTACATGGTTTTGTTTTGGTTTTTGGGGCCCTATTTGAAGAATTTGAATTTAAGATCATGTTCCATGAAACACGTGGTAATTGATTGACCAGCCAAAACAAGGCTGAAAAACCAACAAAGAATAGGCTTGAATCATGTAGCCAGGACTAGCCATGACTAGGGGATTTCAACAAGAAGAACCTTTTTTTTGCCCCAAAAAATCATTTGGGGCAGCAACAAAGCCGCGCCAAACATCTGTGGTGGTCGACACATTTTCTGCGGTGATTGTAGCATGTTGGGGATTGGTAAATTTATCATTTAATGAATATCATCTTCAGTTGTTGGAGATTACCCTTGCTAGTTGTTGGCTGATGTTTAGATATTTAATTAGGACATTTACCCTCTGATTGGGCACGTTTGATGATTGTTTAGGGCTGATGGAGCAGGTTGCTTCACTCTGCGGTAGTACACCTGGTCACAGAGACCCACTTAGTGACTTAGTGTTTGTTTAGCTGGCCATGAAATGAATCTCGAATTCACATGCTACGCTCGGTGCCGCCCCATTATTGGCTGGTTTATGACCTCAACAACTGTGGGTTTATGATCGATCCACAGCGACGAGGATTATACACCACCTTGTAGAGATGTGTTAAAGCTGAAGAAAGACAAACAGATGATGACATGATTTTTAACTTGTACAGTAAATGTAGCGAGACTTGTTTGTTGCCTATATCAAGAGTTGTTTTAGGGAAAGCATTGAGGCAATTTTCAAGTGCGATTGCGATCTTTTCTCACAGTATGCCATCAGTTGGAGTGTGCAATAGTTTTACATGTTCTTTTTTGGTTGGTGGTACTTGGACAAGGGTATATACATGATCTACAATCTACAACATAATATGCTATACATATCATATACAGAACATGCATACCATACCGTACCGTACCGTATCATACCATACCATAAAAACATACAGACAGATATGAATTAATTATATGATATATGTATACATATCTAAATGCCGTTTTGCAGATGCCCAGTGCACCCAAAGATTTTGCCGCCAAAGCTGTCCGCTTGGGCAGGCTGCCTGTGGCACGAACTTTCCTGCACTTTGACACTCGAAGTGTTGTGCTTCGACGATGAAGGGGGCTGCGTTCGTCACCCTCCTGGGTGATGTAGGGGGTGATACCATCCTTGGTGACCCCCTGTAGTTGATAACTCCGACTCCAGCGACTGTTTTTTTGTAGGTATAACTGTAAAGGTCATTGTGGAGCAAAACCACCAAAAAGAGTTCCTTGGGGCGCTACATTGTGTTGATGATTATGTGGGGGAAAAACTATTAACTGATTATTATATTATATCCTTATATATTATAAACTATTATGTGTTGATGATTATTATATAGTATCCTTGGTATATTGGGGAGTTTGATCAACTGGCAATCCCGTTCTGAATCAACCTGCCAGACCTCGGTATACCTGCAGAATCGAGACATCCTCATGAGGATTTCATGAGAAAACTGAACACATTGCATGCAGCTATATACGCAACTATACATACATTACATTACATAAAACTGAACACATTGCATGCAGCTATATACGCAACTATACATACATTACATTACATTAATTACATTGCATTGCATTGCATTACATTACCATACCTACGTAAGTACGTACGTACGTACATACATACATAGTATTATACATGTCATACATGTCATAGATGTATGTATACATACCATACATACCATACATACCATACATAGCTACGTACGTACGCTACATACATACATACATTCATACATACATATATACATACATACATACATCGTACGTACATACATACATACATACATACATACATACAAACACACACATACATACATACATACATACATACATACATACATATCATACATATCATACATACATACATATCATACATATCATACATATCATACATATCATACACATCATACATATCATACATATCATACATACATATTATACATACATACATATCATACATACATACATACATACATACAAACAAACATACATACATACATACATACATACATACATACATACATACATATCATACATACATACATACATACATACATACATACATACATACATACATACATACATACATACATACATACATACATACATATCATACATACATATCATACATACATACATACATATCATACATACATACATACATACATACATACACACATACATGTCATACATGTCATACATACCATACATACCATACATATCATACATGTCATACATGTCATACATGTCATACATGTCATACATATCATACATGTCATACATGTCATACATGTCATACATGTCATACATGTCATACATGTCATACATGTCATACATGTCATACATGTCATACATGTCATACATATCATACATGTCATACATGTCATACATGTCATACATGTCATACATGTCATACATGTCATACATGCCATACATGTCATACATGTCATTCATGTCATTCATGTCATACATGTCATACATGTCATACATGTCATACATATCATACATATTATAGATATCATACATATTATAGATATCATACATATCCAAATATATCATCCAATTAAGCAAGACACAACTTCGTGATTTTTCCCATTACAATATCATCATAACACCATAGGATATTCCCATTATATTCCCTCTGACAATCCTATTATATTAACCCAATATGATCCGCCTCGATAACCCCTTAAAATATCCCCCATTGTAGTCTTGTAGTCCGAAAATAGCCCCATTGAAGTCCAATTCTTGGCCCATTTACCACCGTTCAAATCGCATTGTACTCAGGCAACATGCAATGTTTATATCATCCTAGCTTCCAAGTAAAATAAGACTATATATTGTGGGGCATTATGGTGGTCAATTACGGGATGAACGGCTAACGGGATATTGATGAGCTAATAT